GCCACAAACAGATGTTCCTGAGACAGCACTGGAATAACAAAGCAATAAAAGTAGCTGTGCAAAGGATAAATTGTGAGTAGAATGAATTGGTGTTTGATCTAGGAAAGCCTGGAGAAGATCTGAATACAAAACCACCAGACCTCCTGCAAGGTCAGAGAAAAACTCGCCAAGTCCCTGATGGACAGAAGACGGCTGCCGGAGGGAGACTCCTGGAGAGGACACTGCCCTGCGGAGGACTGACTCTGACAAAGGGTAACAATGTTAAATAACTCAGTTAAGTCCTATTTTGACATAAAACGTCAAAATATAATAATAATAATAATAATAATAGTAATAATAATTTTGCATAAACACTCCCAGAATTCCCTCTATCACTTGAGGGACATCGCTTGGTTATGCTTTGACCTGTCTTAACGAACTGGGACAAACTGGTTCATGCTTTTGTTTAAGTAGCGCCCAACCTGCTGGCTCATCAAGGAGCTCTTTACAAAAACAAGTATGTCCAAAACCCGACAGCTAACCGTCTGACTAGACCTTGTTCTGACAACCCTGTCTTCATTTCAACCCTGCACTGTCTTCCTGTTCAGTTTCATCTAGACTTCAAGATCTTGCTCTGGACTTTTAAGGCCACAAAGGGTTGCATGCCCTTATAGTTCTGATCCCCTGATAAATTACTGGCCTGACCACTAACTGGACTCCTATCTGTCATTTCAACAAGGCTGCTAACAGTGGGCAACAGATCTCAAGCCATGCTTCTTGTCTTAAATATGAAATCAAGTGTACGCTTCCAGCTAAAATGTTGTTTTCCCAGGAGGTATTTAGGAGGTATAATGTAGGAATAGTGTAGGAACATTATTGCTAAAGATTTGCAGTAGCTTTCTCTTTAAGCATCAGCACAGTAGTTCTGAATTTATAATGAACCTTTAAAATAGAAACAACCTTCATTATTTATAACACTGATCCCGACTGGAATTGCATTTGCCCACTTGGTGTATACTAGACTTTTTTGTACAGAAACTATTTGAATCTTGTTTATCAATGCTAACCTGCTCTTTTCCCAACTGTTATATACTGCACTGCTTCGGAAATGGATAATCAAAAGGTCTGTTTAATATCCCAAAAATTTCTCACATTTCTCAGTAAATCTGACATTTTCAGTGTTATGAATTTTGTTGGTGATTTAAATCAGTTTATCTGTTAGTTTGGGACACAAACTGAAATTAAGTACTGTAATAATGCATTTAGGGCTGGAAACAAAAATGACTTCTTAACAAAAAGAAAGGTGGGTGGCCAGAATTAGCTGCCCACCCATTTTATTGAAGCTGGTTCCATCGGACCTTTCAAAAAAACAGCAAAAAGATATCTTTTGATTCAGCAATAGATACTAAGCAAGGAATACAGACAGGAAGGCTTCCTTTGTTTGCAAGCTCTCTTAAAAAATACTTGCTTTTATATCTTAGTTTGAATTATGTTTTTTTAAAACGGTCAAACTCACCGGCAACAAACTCAAATGCTGCCTGAATTTCAGAGATATTCTGGAGTAAAGAGAACCATCTATGCTAATGTTCCTTCATTTCAAGCAAAAAAGAAAGGCATCTTATCAGCCATGGGCAGAGAGTTGTTAAAGAGACATACCAAGCAAAACATTTTGCTGTGGTTCTGAATGGAGGTTCACACAAATAATTCATGTCTGTTCGACACCAATCAAAGTAATTAACAAAGCCATAAAGCTACCCCTTGGGAATCAACAGGTTCTGCAAAAGATACACAGTAGTCTGTTATTAAACAAGCTCAATTTGAAAATGGCTCATAAGGCGTAAACTCGTATAACGGAAATTAAATTCCCATTAGTTCCTGTGTAATAATCTTTGATTGATTCCATAACTCACAATGTTCCCTCAAACACCCAACCTTCACTTTAATACAGAACAGAAGTGCATTCCTAATTAAACTGAGTGACATGCTTAAAGTCATTAGCCGATGCATAAACAACGGGTAGGAAAACAATAACACCCCTGCACTACAGTACAGTCTTTATATTATTAGTCATTAGAAAATGCATTAACATTAGGTCCTGTCCTGTACTATATGCTCCTAACAAAAATTTAAGCCTTTATTATAAAAAAGTTAAGATGTAATAAAACCTCATCCGAGAAGACGCAAGAAAAGAAGAATCTCAGAGATTCATTAAGACAGCCCAGCTCTTAAAAGTGAAAATCTGGTCATTAAATGAGAATAACAAGTAGGAATTACAATAACTCTTATAATCGAAAACTCATAAAGAGGTTGCTTGTATAGCGAAGGATTACCGTACTATTAAATAAAAACCACTAAAATTAGCTTGAATTTTGACAATATGCATAACAAATATCTTTGTAAAAAAGTAAAACAGTATTCTCTTTGAAAAGGAAGACACATTTTAAGTGAAGGTGAAAGCAATTAAGGCTGAACATATTAAGAATTTGTAAACAATTCTGGACAGGTTTAGAGATGGCAAATAGAAATGGCAGCCATTTATTCAATAGATGGCTACTTAGCTGGGTCAGCACTGGGTCAGTTTAAATAATGTATGGGCTTCTATTTAAATGTAAAAAATGGAAAGCTACTCAGCCCCTTCTTTACAGGAAAGTTATTACACAAAATGAAGCCAAAAGTCCCACAATGTGCAAGAAATATTCTATTCAACCACTTTTAGTTTTACCTGTTGCAGCTGACTTATAAACAGCTGACTCATTTCATGCAACAAAACCTGCACTGCTAATAAAGTGCAGAAAGATTGAGACAAGAAATTCTAATTAAAGTCCATGACTAAAAGATATCATCTATCTCCAACATGATTACATTCCTCATCCAGTTTACAGATTTAGATTTCAAGTGTCTGAAACCATCGACGGGAGGAGAATGAATATATGTGACATGAGCGAGTGCTGTATGTAACCCGTCATTTTGGTAGAAGCTTCGTTTTGCGCGTGTGCAATGCCACAGTCCACAAACTTGTTATCTGCAGAATAAGTGGGCTGACATGGTAATCGTGGAGAAACAGAGAAAATGTCCACTGCTGACTTCCTTTTTCTCTTCAGGGGATAAGCTAGCTCCAAATAAAGATGTGCAGCAGAAGAAATATTTTTTAAATCATTCTTCACTGCCTTGGGTTGTACTGACTCAGGAGTACAAAGATAAGAGAACTGGAATTCTGAGTGGGAGTTTTCTTATTGTAGCATGCCCAGCTGTCACACTGCCCCTCAGAATACTATCACTAAGTAACTAATGACCTGTGGTGCCCACTACACAAGAGCAACACAAGTGTTTTCAATTTTTAATTAGCATATATTTTGTGATGCATGCAGTCACTAGATAACCAAGACTGATTACATAACTTTCAGATTGTTTCAGAGGAATTTTTCCTCTATTTTGCAACAATTAGGGCTGTCTGCCAAAAGATATGATGGGCTTCAATGTTGCTGGCGTTTAAATAACCTCCGACCCTTCAAATAGCCAAGTACACACACTGACTCAGTGCCAAAATCAGTGTCCTGGTCAAAACAAATGGCTGGAAGATACAACTGTGTGGAAGGTGTACAAACAAAGCAGCTTATTAATTCAGTCGTCCGTAACACTTCTGAATACATTATACTCTGGACAAGCCCATCAACTGTAAATATTTTTCCCCTGTTTTTAAGTGCACTGTACATAATCAGACTGTATGTATTGCAAATAAATGTATCTCTTTAATAATTTGTAACATTTCATTATTGGATAAAGCCGATAGTTTAAAGGTCATGTCTTTTAATCAGTATTTGTTTAGGAATCCTAGCAGGAAAATGTTAAAGATTGTTCTATCCTCCTGTTGCCTTAAGAAAAATAAACATCACCACGCATGGCTATAAATAAATGCTGAAGGAGTCAGTACAAGCAAAGTGCTGTACAGGTACTGCAAAAAAAAATATTTGTACAAAGAAAGGTGGACTAGACTGCATTCATAAGACTTTACTGCAGTACTGCAAAGAAATATTTTACAAGTAAAAGGTACCAGTGCAGTAATTTCAGTTTTGACAGTCAAGAGGTACACTAGCACCACCATAAGGTACAAGAAAGAACTGCACATTTGAGGCGTCTTGGATAAGAGTAATACTGCACTTTCGAATTCAGTTCTGTGAACTTCCTGGGTGTGAGCAGAAACTACCTGGTGCAACTGGTCTGGTAGTTTCTGGCATTAATTCACCCAAGTAAAAAGTTCAGAAGATGCAAACATTTTGATTTAAAGTTGGGTGCCAATTTGTGTCTGTCCAATCCTGGGATTATCTATACAAAAAGACTAAATAAAGAAATTTAAAAGTTTAACTTTTAAACATGTTTCTGTTCATTATAACTGCAATGTGAAGTTTCAGAGATTATTACATAAAAAGTACATTTTACTTACAAAGGAAAATTCCTTTGACCAAAGCTAACAAAAAGCCTTTTAAGGATACCTGTTAATGTATCCTTACAATGAATGACCTATTGGTTGTCTTTACCAGTAAGCGTAATAGTTATGTGTATAAAACACACAGAATATGGTTTTTAAACCTTATCAATGAAAGTAAAGATTTTGAAATCCACCCCACTCATTAAAAAAAGATTTAGAAAGATTTGAACCAAGAGTGCACAATATGAAGAATCTGAAACTCAGATGCTAACTGATTTTAATTTCACATTTTTAGGTATTTAAGAAACCCTCTGCTCTCAGGAAATAAACTTTGATAACCCTCAAAATAATATCCCAATAGAAGAATAAACACCAGGCCAAATCTACAAAGAATGTATGGATGAAATCACGGAGACCTAAAAAACAGAAACTGACCAAAACATGGCCTGTAAAGAAAGAGCGGTGATAGAAACAAGAGCTCGAACAGCTGCAGTAGGAAAAGGAAATGAGGCAGCTGTTACTCACCACAGCTGGATGCCCAGACACACTGCTGGGCAGAGTTCTGCTCTAAAGAGTAACAACTGACAAGACCCACCCTTCTTAGACTTGGCACCTATCTTCAGTTTCGAAGGCCACGCTATCTGCGTTTTCGTTTCCTCCATGACCTGTGGAAAAAGACAACATAAACAGTTTTGAAACAGATGACGTGCTTATAATTTGACTCGTAATTTGAAGTGCCAAAGCATTAGGGGGGGTCAATCGGTTTTTAGAGATTGTACAGTATGTAGAGGAGACAAACAATAGGGTGAAATTAAATTTCTGCACTACACGGCTCTGCAGTTTCGAATAAAATCCAAAATTAAAAAGGAAAAAAGTGGATTTGATGCACCATATGAATATTCAAAATATCAAATTAAATTTTATTTGGCCTCCAAGAAAGACATTTAAAATTTACTTTGGGAGCCAAGGTATAAACCCTCCTTAAAGAGTACAAATTACATTTATTTTTACTACAATTGTCTTAACAATGAACTTTTTGTGAAGACCACACAGTACATACAATACCTGAAGATTTGCTGCTCTATTGAAAAAAAGATTTTTGAAATACACGAGTCCACAAGTTACCTTCCTAAGAACACAAACCCGATATCTTTGACTGTCTTATTTAGGATTGAAATTATTATGAATGATTTAAATTATTTGGGAATCGGCATATTTCACACAAATACTGCCTGTTGTGGTAATAACGTACAATAACATTTTCCAAAGCTTTCCTTCTGAATTAACACTAGCAGTAACAACTCATAACACTAATTTTCTGTAGTTTTTTTTTTTGTTATACAATAATGGCTCCAAACAAAGATGATTCACATTATTTATTAAATTAGTTAAAAAAAATCAGTATCAGCAAAGTTGAAATCACAAAACATTTAGTGCACAGTGAATATCTGGCACACTGAAAACAAATGTTAAGAACTTCAAACTAATTCAGATCAAGTTTTGTGTCTGTGTAACTGCAAGTGGTTCAATTTGTTTTCTTTAAATTTGCACCACAGGAATGTCACAAATCAGCAGAATTTTCTTGCCCTTCTGACTCAGCAGCAGAAAATGGGTATATAATCTCTGCATAATAAAATTTCCACTGAGCTTCTACAAACTAGCATATTTTCCACTGCAGTTCTGGTAGAACAGAAACAAAGTACTCCACACAGCACAGCCCGATTCCTGGACAATAATTCCTCACCTACTGCAGCTTTCCTGAACTACTTCCATGTCTGCTGAAGTGGAACTGTATTAATGTGAAACAAAATGCAGAGGAATGCAAGATTACTTACATTACTTTTTGGCTGAAGATCTAGTTCTGGCAGCTGTACCAATGAATTTTATGTTTGATTTGAATGAATTGCAGCTGTTATTAAACTGCAATAACTGATATAAGGGTGCCATGGCAGTCATTTGAACTAATTTGAAATGCCATTTTAGTCATCTAAACAAATCACTATACAAAAAAATAAAACTTGTAAATACTGACTCAATTCACAAATATTATTAATGTGTAAATCTGCTCTATTTGCTTATTACACTGGCACACAAACTTTGAATTTGCTGTTCATACTGTAATAAAATTGTACACGGACATAAATTACTTCAGACAGAATTCCATAGGCTCCAGCATTGTAAAGCCTGCAGTATAGATACAGAATAAAAACTGTTCTTGAAACAATGTTGCTGCTTTGGTAAATCCATAGCCTCTTACAGAACAAAGAGTAGGCTGGACTGACCAGCAACGTCAGACTTAGTCTAACCTGTGGTCTGTTCACTATCCAGAAGATGTAAAGCAAAGCCTGCAATTTCAAATGTTGCATTAACACCTTTTTCAAGATATTCACTGCTGTGTACACCGTGCCCAAACCTGACTAGAACAGAAAAGAAAAAAAATTGGTTAGACCAGACCACAACACCTAAACATAGGACCAAACATTTTGAGTCATCTAAGGAAAAACTCAGTCACTGTTTTTTCTCATTGGTGTTGACAGACATAATATGAAAAAGGATCTCATCCAGCCATTTCTTGAAAGAAACCAAGGTACCATATTCAAAAACATGGCTGGGTGGCTTGTTCTATATTTACATTACCATTTGGCTAAAGAAGTGCCTCCCATTCTTGGTTGTAATTAATTTCCACAGTTTCCAGTTGTGCCCTCTAGTTCACTTTGAAGAAATCCTCAGGATTGACATTGCTAGTGCCTTTGAATACATGTATTAGGTGCCCTTGTAAGCTTCTCTGTTCAAGCACAAAAGGTTCATTTCCTTCAGCCTGTCAGTGTAGAACTGGATGACAAAACTGTCCACAGTAATTTATTCTGCTCTATTCTATGGACATCCCTCCTGAAACTAAGCGACTCTTAGAGACGATTGTGCAGATAAACACGGTAGGACCAACGAAAATCTTGACTCGACATTTATGACCAAAGAATCCCCCATGGTCGTCTTTTTGCCATTGTCAACAATAATGTGTTATTTCCAGGTAGAGCTCCTAGTTTTCTAGACGCCCTAAACGAGCCCAGCTATCGTGGAGCTCGGATGACTCTGAAGCTTTCTTTACTCTGCATCCTTCTGTAGTAGAGGATGACTGTCTTCCATGGGCGCAGAGCCATCCAACAAGACATATTTGGGCGCACTTTTCCCAGCAGAATGGATGGTCTTGGGTTATTGACCTGGTCAACCACGGTACACTGAAACAGTCCCAAATTCACTTGCAAAGCAAGAATACCATTTAACCCAATCCAAGAGACAATCTACACCAACAACAGTTGTCAGAGCAATTCCCTGCGATCATCATACTGCACATCTAGCAGGAAAGGTTGTACTAGTTATTTAAATGATCACACCATAAACCAACGTGCTCCTTCAGAATAAACCAACTGGTATTAAGTACATCTATCTTCATGCCAATTGGAAAACTGTTTACTACCCCAAATTTATTTAAGAAATTGCACAGAACTTCTTTTGTGGTTTTGAAAATGGCATTCAGCTGTGAGAAAAAAAAGTAATAGAGAAGGTTTTTAACTTAAAAGTCAAAAGTAGAACTTGTACCCCATGACCTGTCAAGCATTTTCATTTATGCGCACGCACAGTTTGAACAGGCTTAGGGTAGATCAGTTTCAATTACACCCTGAAACAGGATATATAAAAGGGGAATCAAACAATTTGGAATGTCTACATTAAAGACAGAAACAGGATAAATAAAATCTGTTGAATCTAATGGTAAGGAATTTATGGGGACAATGTCAAGCCAAAGCCAAAATATGTACTGTTTAAATTTAATTAAGTGTGGTTAATGACTCAAAAAGGTAAAACAACGTTTATGTGAATTCTGCCTTTATGTGCGTTTTTGAGCCACTGTAAGATCTTCCTCTAATGTTGACTTTGGAAGGTATTCTTTGTACAATAAGTCCTTTTCCTGAGGAATTTTCTAAAAGTCCTTGTTAACTGAAGGAAACGTACTGCACAATCAGCTAACGCGTGCAGTGTTTTATTTCAATTTTTTTTCCACTTTCTCCAGCAAGTCAGCATTGTTTCTCAGCATGACATTTCTGACTTCAGCATGGTAGAAAATACACCCATTGATACAAGTTAGTCGTTTAAAAATGTAGTCTATCTTCTTGCTAAATAACTTTGTCAGGTCATTATTCCTTTGTGGCTACAATTTCCCATTTTTTAAGAACTGCGTCACTTGTTTCCAAACATCTGAAAAATGTCTACTGTAATGAGACTTGAGTGGTTTGATGAGTCTACATCACATAACAAGGAACATATGGATGAATTCAGTACAAAACAACTATGCTGAGGTCTAAGAGTCACAGCACGTTAATCTCTAATGTCACAGATAGACTTGTACTTAGCTACACAAATCAGTAGTCACCGTTCCTACCCATAATCGCTTTACCTCAACAAGGAGATTTCATACATGAGAAAACCAAACATGAAAATGATTCCATACATGAGAGCAAAGCATCAGGTTGAAGTGATAGAACCTTGGAGAGGTTGAAAACCATTAACACACTCTACAACTGGTCTCCATTCACTTTCCATCCTTGAACTTGTAAAGCCAGTGAGTGTGATCTTGAATAGTCTTAGGGCAGATCTTTTCTGCATTCAAAGAGGCCATTCTCTTCTAGACTTGCTCGTGTTTGAAAAAGCATTTCCTTCCATTAGATCAGAGCACTCACACACAGGGGATGGTGCTGAGGCACTGGGGTTAACAGCGTCCTCACAGCCCTTCAGTCTTGGGTTCAAATCCAGCCTCAGGCACCCTGTGTGGAGTTTATACGTTTTCACATGGCAGTGCGAGTTTTTGTCAAGTGCCTTGGTTATCTTCCAACCTTTCAAAGATATGCTAGATATGCTAGCTAGGCTAACTGGCATCTCTAAATTGTCCCTGTGTGTGGATAAGCATGTGCCCTGAGAAGCTCCCCTTGCTTGCAATGCTTTCTGGGATAGAATGTGGGTTTTCACAACCCTGACTAGGAATAACATACTCGGATAATGGATGTATGGATAGCTGCACAGGAAAAGGCCTGCTGCACAGGGCAGTTATTTAATCTAAACAGGCTAGGAGAAGCTTAAACACTCAGTGTCTCTGAGGATTACTCAGCTGCAGTGTCCAATGAACAGTTTTACAGCCACCTTAATATCATTACAGCTCATTTCATACTTTAAATACTGTCTCACTGACGTATATATAAAAACAAAAACCATCAAAAGCCTCCAGAAAATTCTTGAGGGCAGCAGATGAATAATTTGAAATACGATCAAGAAAATCCCCACACGCATTGTGTTGTCTTAAAATCGGGGCTTTGACTCATGCCAACTACAAATTAGAAATGCAGTACTGTACATGGTTTTGGCTGCCCAAGCCTTCCCAAGTCCATTCCATGGATAGCTCACAGCTGTAATTCTTAGTTTTAGACCAGAGTAGCAAGAGTGCTAATGACAATACAGCTGGCCATGCTGAAAAGAGTGACAATAGGTTTAAATGTAGCACAGGTCTCAGTTGAAATGCTCTCTGCCCTGTCAGATTCAATGAAAACCACTTCGCATCCATTCCCATAAGATGTTATTACTGAAAGGCAGCCATTTGGCCTCTCTACCCTGTTTGGTA